GAAAGAAAGAAAGAAAGAAAGAAAGAAAGAAAGAAAGAAAGAAAGAAAGAAAGAAGGAAAGAAAGAAGGAAAGAAAGGTGTCCGGGGTAAACAGTTTGGCATTAAGAGGAGAGATGGCTCAGTGATTAAGGCACTGGCTGGTCTTCCATTCCCAACACCCACATGGTGGCTCACAACTATGTGCAACTCCAGTTGCAGGGGCTCTAACATCTTCTGGCCCCTGGGGGCACCAGGCATGTCTGTAATACACAGAGAAACAGGTAGACAAGCACATCTCCACATAAACATACGAAACCAAAATAAACAATTTGACATCACCTATGCTAATATCCACAGCCTGACTTGAAGGAGAGGAAGGTCCATGTATTAGGCAACAGGCCCAGCCTTGTAAAGCGAAACAGACCTGAGTTCCTGAGCTAGGGCAAGTTTCAGAGGGCATATGTGTCATAGTGGATAACAAAACAGTTCCTACTCACAGCTAACTGGCAGTATTCTTTCGCAAGGGTAAACTGTCACAGATGTTTAAGGTTAAGAGCACTGGCTGCTCTTCCAGGGTCCTGAGTTCAACTCCCAGCAACCACATGGTGGCTTCCAACCATCTACAATAAGAGCTGGTGCCCTCTTCGGGCATGCAGGCATACATGCAGACAGAAGATTATATACGTAATAAGAAATAAATCTTTTTAAAAAGCACTGATTTACAAGAGAGGTTCTAATGTTTCTACAGGAAAGAGGCATCCTTACGTTTCCCATCAAGCAGCTCAACTTCCGGAAGGTGGCAGATTACATGCAGACGATAGAGGTTATATTGCGATAAAGGGTTTTTGTACAGACCTGCAAAGGAAGAATCCGAAATAAGATGCTAGGTTTTACAATAGTTCCTTTCACCACCTATGAAGACAGAAGATGCAAGACTCACAGTGCAAAAGGATAATCAGTGCAAGCTGAGCAACTGTGCCAGCTCAGTCCAGCCACCGTCTCGCACACGTTTCCTTAGCTAGAGCACCTCGCACTTTCTAATCTGTTGGATTCTTTCATTCAAGGTTTAGGGGTTGCTACTGCCCATTAGAAATAGTGCTAGCTTGACCCAGACCTGGCACGAATGAGGACAATGTCAAAGTCTGTAGGTAGATGTCACAAACTACCACTGGGAATTATTCCAGTCTCAGAGACAATGGGGTAGCTTCTGGATGGAGACAGGCAGTGGTACAGAACACTGTCTGAACTGGTTTCCTCCTGAACCTCGCTGTTGCTATGTCAGAGGATGCACACACCAACAGCACTTAGGAACCTCAGAAGGAGCTACCCAGATGTGGATGCTACGGCCTCTCTGCAAGACTCCCGTGGCTAAGGGATGGGTAATGAACCTGACCTTGCAAGACAGTGGTGGGGAAGACGGGGCAGGTAAAGGGTATAGATCCTGGAGCTTCTGAAGTAATCATCCATCAAAATCAGCCCGGAGGGATAGTTTTAAAACGCATTAGCTGGGAGTTTTGCGTGTTTTATTTTCTGGTGACATTTTTTTTTTCTGTTCACTTATTGATAACACGAAATGAGACTGTTTAGATGCACTGTGAAATGAAGTTTTGTGATTTTGTCAGTGCAGTAGCAAGATGTTTCATAAAGCAGGTGGCCGCTAGATGGCAGTAGAACAAAGAGCTCCAGCTATCACGCAGCTGTGCCACCAGAGAAAATGTGGCTGGTGTTCTCGTTTGTTAAATTTAAGGGCATTGCTCTGTAGACTATTCATAACACACAGGGGGTTTTAATCAAGGGTCAATCCTATCAAACAGCGGAAGCCCAGAAGAACAGATTAACATTTAGAATGCATAGTTTGTAGCATAAAGAAGACCGGAGAGGCATGTTTGAAAAACAAGCTCATTAAAAACTGAAGAGAAACAATACCTGGACATACTACTCTCCATCAGTGACAAGACATTGAGATGTATTTTATCAACACAAGCTCTTCTGGCTGGTCAAATCCTTACATGCGCTTTCTAGACAGAGGAAGTAAGCAATGGCAGAGCTCTCCTACACAATTAAGTACAAGTTAAAGGAATGAGGAAAGGTCAAGGAAAATGTAGAGCTGGTGGCCGGACAGTTAGGTATTGGGGGAAGGAAGAGGAGGTGAAGAAAGAAAAATCCAGACTGTGGCAGCAACAACAAGAGGTTTAAAGTTTGCTCTGCTGGGGACCTAAAGTGAGAACAAATCCTTGTGGGTAGGGAAGAGGTACCTGCGTGGACGCATGTTAAACCAGTCATAAGGAGACCCACCCCGTAGCTTCAGCCTCTCCTCACGCTCGTAAACGCAAAATGCTTTAGTGAGAATTTTGGAGGAGGAAAAAGTCATGAACGTTTTAGAGCAGAAGTCAGCTTCCCAGTGGCTTTCCTGTGGAATCACACGGCCTGTCCCCCTATTCATATAGTTAGTAGAGCCCCTGGGTGGCCAGGCTGTCTATGTGGGGTGCTGACAGGAAGCCTCTCAGCATCCTTCGGTGATGGGTGCTTAGCGGTCCATATTGTCCTTACCTTCTGAGAACATTACTATTTCACTTGTTTTCTGAAATTTTCTCCTAATCTTTACTCAAATAACCTATTTTCGAAAGTTCATTACGCTTACGTGCGTGCTTGCGTGCGTATGTGCATGTGTGTCTCTGTGTGTGTGCGTGCATGATGCCAGGCCAGGAGTGGGTACCTGTGTGTGAAGGTCAGAGGACAACCTTGGATATCACCCTCCGATACTCTGGTCCTCTTCCTTTGAGACAGGCTCTCCACTGACATGAAGTTAGTCTGGGGACCCATGGGCTCCTCCGTCCTCTGCTGCCCCAGTGCTGGAATTGCAAGCATGCAGCACCGCAGTGCAGTTTTCGGTGGGCTGTAGGGACTCAGGCCCTCAGGCCCTCATGCCTGTAAGACAAGCCCTTCACTGAGCTACCTCCACCCTCAGCACCACACTCAGAAGGGAGCTTGTTCCCTACTTGTGAGCAAGGTCCGGGTTGTGAACGCCCGTGCTCACCATGGTAGGCTGCCCCTCTCATCTTAAAAAGAAACCGTGTAGCAGCCACCAGAGCAGCCACCCCAGCGGCTGATGACATTGCTTAAGAAAAATAAGCTGGAAGCTATTTCCTTATTATCCCTCACTTTTTCTCTAGCTCTTGTACTTTAGAAGAAAGCAATCTCGTTTTTAGTTCTCCCCACCTACCCCATCCTACACTAGTTAAGTATTAAACATGTTGGATTTATGCATTTTGGATGGCTGGTCCCAAAATTACCATAAATTAACTTTCTGAGATATGAAATCAGTTTCCTGTGTCTGAGTGTTCTGAAAGCTTAGCGTGATGGATGGGCACATTCCTGCAGCAGCTATGAAGCAAAATTGCTTACACTTTCGCTTTCAATAGGTTAATACTATCTAATCCACCTTTCCCTCTAGGCTACTTACGGAGTACACCCCAGTGGCGCCAGCTCTGTCTTGCTTATCTTAATTTGGAAGTCAGAGTCTACGAAATTTGCATCTACCCAACAATATATCACAGTGTCTCTGCCACTGTGCCGCAGAGGCTTGCGCTGGATGAGTCACCGTGTGGAGCTTCTCAATGAAAGACAAGAGGAAGACAGAAAGTGATAGAGTCATCTAAATAATTGGCTCCCATTGACTTAAAATGTTTAACAAGAACTTAAGAGTCCTTGTGGAAGCAGACTCAAATTGACGTGGCCTTTTGGTTGTGAGCCTTGGCCTTGAACAGCTGAGGCATCTGTCCAGCCCAAGGACCCAACTGTCCTTAAAGGACTTTAGGAGAAAGCTGATATGGCTGGGCTTGTACGGAAGTCCTGTGTTCAGCCCTCGGCACTACATGAAGCCAGGTGTAGTGACAGACACCGGTAATAAGGCACATAGCTGCTGGGGAAGACCTGGGGGTCCCTTCTGCTTGGTAGATCCTCTTGTTGGAAAGAGACAGCCCACCCTCAAGGGCATTCCAGATAGACTTAGAAAAAGAGGCTTGGAGGCCCACCTCTCCCAGCATCCTTCTTTTCCTTGCTCTTTCTCAACAGCACGGAATAGCGCATTGCTGGTGACAGGAAGAGAAAATGTTGAAGGACCTGGAAGTCACGCTCTCTAACAAGGTTTATCCCTGAAGCTCCAGTAGGAAGGTCTTGCCTGTGATGAAAGGCAAGTTGCTAGGTGTACTCAGGGAAATGGAGAACATGTGAGAGCAGAGTTTAAGAGCAAGAGAATGGGCTAAGAACCTTGTTGATGTTTTTCGCTGTTGCGTGCTGGCTTGTTTTGTGTCAACCTGACACAAGCTAGAATGATCTGAGAGGAGGGAACCTCAGCTGAAAAAATGCCTCCATAACATCAGGCTGTAGGCAAGCCCATTGTGTATTTCTTAATTAGTGAGTGATATGGGAAGGGCCAGCCCATTTTGGATGGTGCCATCCCTGGGCTGGTGGTCCTGGATTCTGTCAGAAAGCAAGCTGAGCAAGCCATGAGGAGCAAGCCAGTAAGCAGCACCCTCCACGGCCTCTGCATCATCTCCGGCCTCCAGGTTCCGGCCCTGAGTTCATGTTCTGACTTCCTTCAGTGATGAAATACACATGTGAAAGTGTAAGCCAACCAAACCCTTTCCTCTCCAACTTGCTTTTGGTCATAGTGTTTGTTTCACCACAGCAGTGGACTAAGATAGGCTGCTAGATAGGAGACTGATGGGGAGAGGAACTCGTTTCTGGTGCAGTGGATGGAGATATGGGAGGGTTCCCTTTTGCAGAGTTTGGAGGGCAGAAGTGGGGATGATAGAACTGTGCAGGGAGGGTGTGGAAAGGTAGACCTCCTGGAGAGATGAGGTGGGGCCCTGCCTGGCCTGGAACACAGGAATTCCAGGCACCAGGACCTCACACTCTGCTGCTGGCTTCAGGCCTCCCTGAAGCTCCCAACCCTCTGTCTCCTGGGCAATTGTTGGCAATTTTTTCTCATAAATGCCAGAGGAGGGTGCAGTGCTGAAATGGTTGGAGCCTTACCCCCAGGCTATTTTCTCACCCTCCGAAGAACTTGTGACTGAAGTAATAACACTTTAGATTTTTACATGGTTTTCTTACTTGAAAAGAGAGGAATTATAACATTTGAAAATGCATGGTTTTCTCATTTTAATGAGCCAAGTCTATTCTGAGATGGCAAACGAGGCTCCGAAGAACCTAGTGTGAGGACACCACTGTACAAATGTCAGCCGTCTGCTGAGTGCAAACTTGTTTCCTCACAGAGTGTCTGCAGCCAGAACCGGTGCACTGCTACCAAGCCCTTCCAGAAATGCTCTCTTTCTAGCCAACTGCAAGGAAATGACTGACCCCACGACAAGCTTCTCAGGTGGACCTGTTACCATAACTTGAATGATATCACCCTTGTGTTACGTAGAGGTGATTTTAACCATCACAACAAGTAATAATATGGATGTTTTATGACCAGCCTGGGCTCTGAAGAGCACGAGGGTTTCATCCCTAACTCAGGTCCCACAATTGTGTGCTCAGATGTTCCCTGACAAGTAGGACCTGGGTTGGATTGCAGGTCCATTGAGTTCTGAACCAGGCATCTTGGTTCAATGGCCAGCCCTGTTCCATACTAAGGCCAACATTGCATACTGTTTCATAACTGTACAAATAGTTTTGTACCGCGTTCCTTCAACAAATCTAAATAACGAGACTGCAAGTTATAAAACTGTAAACCCAATTGAAGGCCAGATCATGATTTTCTTCTTCAACTTGGGCATCTGTTAATAAATACAGAATCTGACAGTGAATGAGTGATTTCCTATACACAGAATGAATGAATTATAAACATCATGAGTGATGTTTATGAATGAATGAGTCCATCAATTAAAAAAATGGATGTGTTTTAGCACAAGTAATTGGTAAATCTCTGAGCTTTGCATCTTTACCGCAGTTAAGAGAACAATATCTTAGCAAGAAAGACATCAGACATATAGGGATTATTATTTAAAACACCAGTTATACTGAATCTATTTATCTCTTAGCAACATTTCTAGACTCTAAGCAACTTCTCAATTATTTTATTTATTTCCTACTTATACAATAATTTTCTTTTCCTGTTTCAAATTCATATCAGTAACAAGAACTTTTTCTTAAGAATTGCTTTGGATGGGGCTAGGACAAAGATGTAAAGTGAATAATGCTTTGAAAAGCTACCTCAGTGGCTGAAGGGATTCTGAGTGGTAGCTATGAGCCATTTCATAGAAAAACAAAGTAAGAGGCCTGGACCTAACATACCCCTTTAATTGCGGAAACATTTGATTGATATGGAAGGATTAGATAAGTAGGCAGACCAATCCAAGTCTCTGATGGAATATCAGAATTCAGAAAATTTCTAATGGCAGGTAGCCTTAGCACATCTTTAATCATGGACTTACCAAGATTTTTGTGTAATTTTGTGATTTTTTGTTTTAATTTGGAATTTGCAAAATCTACTTTTTATCACAAGTCATTTCTCCTTAGGCACCTGAGATATTCCTGATAACAGTGAAAAGCTTCGGAAACTTTAGTTCCTCTGTTGGTCTGATTAGAACCTTCACCATCAACCAATACTAGTTTACACAGATTCAGGCAGTTCTGAAAGTGGAATAAGGGAATGTCCTGTGTCTTGACCACCAGAGGTCTCCAAGCTCAGGTCTACAAACTTCCTCACTGGTCACAAGGCCTTCTACCTGGGACAACTGGGATCATCTGCCTTGTCTTCCAGGTCTGTGCGTGTTTATTAGCCCTTCAGCCTATCAGCATATTGAGAAATGAACTTTACATTGATTGTTTTTAATCATTTCCTAAATATGTACTGCTCTTCATTTCAGCAGTCAGTGTCTTGCAAGGCATGACCCAACAAATGTGAAGAAAGGTTGTTTCTTACACATAAAAACTTGGGCATTCTTATTTGATAACTTACTTTATTAGTATACACTATCTCCTGCCACATATATTTACCCACTTAAAATTAACAATTTATGCATATTCAGTCTAGGAAATGATTTGAACCACCTATCACCATACTCAGTTTTTAAAACATTTTATCACTCCCCCACCAAAGAAACACCACACCTCCTTCATATCACCCATCAACCCTAGGTCTCTCTTGTCCCCAGCCCTGCGTGGGTACACACATGCAAGAAGAGCCACCTCTCAGCTCTGCCTCTGCAGGAGGGTGTGTGAGGGGTAGCCCTATAACTTGAACGCCACCACTTACTTCTGACGTAAAATCGAAAGAGTAGATTTGGACACCCGCAATCTTATTTGTTACTTTTGTCATCTTCATCCTACGTGACATCCTACCAAAAAAAAACTGTTTTCAAAAGCACGTGCGAAGAAAGAATAGAATCTAGTCACGTTCTAGAGAGCGGGCTACACATTCCAGCAACAAGCCCACTTCTCTGGGCTTGAGCTGCGGAAAGGAGAACAAATGTGCCGTGCCTCCCCCGTCTTAATCGATAGGCGCGCAGTATGTACTTAGGATCTTCAGGTTGTGCATTCCCTTTAGCTCCTTCATGGTGGCATCAAGGTTGGTCAGCTCATTGTGGTGTAACAGGAGAATGTGCAAGGAGGGCAAGTTACGCAGGCCTAAAAAACAAAAGTGGGTTTGCAAGATTTTCCACATTTGTGGATGAATTTTACTTCTTTAATTGACAAATACAAATAAGAATCTTTTCATAGTAATTAGATATTATAACAAAGCAAGAGAATGCATTATGGCTGGTAAGAAGAGAAATGCCTGTTAATGATACCTGTGATTAAGTGCCTATTAATGATAATTGTGATTAAGCATACAACAATAAAAACTGACTGTCATGTGGGACCAGAGGGGCTTTTTTTTTCCTGCTGCTACTGCTTCAGCAAACAAGCAATGAGTTCGCTTGTTTGAATTTTCAGTTTGTTATATTCTGTCTCTTTGCACATGTGAACCTATGTTACTTAGAATTATAATGCAAATTAAAGAGTAATTTCTCATCCATTCAATACATTCTTTTTAAATGGCTCAGCTATTTGTAGAATGGAAAAACCATATATTCATTTTTTTTCTTGAGCAACACATTTTAATTCATTTTAAAAAGCATAAATGAATGCAGAGTGAATCTGTGTGATAATCAAATCATAGTTAAATTGGAATGCTTTCTTCCTTAACAGTACAAGGCCTTATCGTGGGTGTTAAAATGTCTGACATTTTCATTATGATGCATTATTTTAAAGCCTTGTGCGTTTCCAACAGTTTGTTATGTCTCCTGATCATGACCTGTCACACACTTATTCCTGACTTGACACTGTCCGTGTAGAGACTATTATAAAATTAATTCAGTGGAAACAGGGGCCTGGTTGATAAAATCACAACCAATAAGAAAATTTAAGGCAATGTGTAGTTTTTATTATTCTTATTCCTAACTATTTCTTGTTTTCTACAGTAGCTAGTTGTGTCCAACTATACAGTATAATGGTGCTACTATAAAAAAAAAAAAACTCCTCTTAAATTTTGGGCAAGACACATAATATTGACCTAGAAAGTGGTCTAACATATTTTTAACTTACATGTACAGACATTCACTTAAAATAAACATGATGAAATAGATTTTTATATGTTGTTAGTAATCATTACAGTTGAAAGTTATTACTTAATTGAAAAATCATTTAACCAACAAAGGAGGTTTGAGACATACCTTCTATCTCAAAGATCTCATTGTTGTTTAGATACAGCTCTGCCAGACAATAGTTTCTAGTTAAAAAGGCTATCCCATGTAGCTGAAAGGGAAAAATGATACATTATTTTTCTAGTCTCAAGACAATGTAAGTGTGGCTTTTAACAACCATTGTTATTTGTGGCCTTTTGGACTGAGCTACAAGTTGTACCTGAACTATTATTTTTCCACAGAAGTGTGATAGGAAGAGTGTTTTGAACTGACTTACCAGCAAAGCTTTCTGAACATTTCTGAGACAGACTGCTGGCTGCAGATCTTGTTCTTAACAATATTTCCAGAGTTGTGCTGCGCATGGTGACATCACTGGACCTCTACTCACCAAGCCTTTATCTGTTACTGTGAGCCAAAGTCTCTTTGAGATAACACACAGCCACACCTGCGTCTGCCAGGGCAATGTTTTCCCTCTGCCCCCACATCCTTCCTTTCTGGTCCATTATATTTCTGAGTATGTATAGGAATTAGACCTAGACCAGCAAAACATACCAAATCATGCCATGGTGCATTTTCACAATTCTGGAGAGTGTCTAAAACCATTCTTTGATCTTCCCGCATCTTCCAATAAATCACTGTGGTTTTGGCCATCTTTTGTTTCTCTGAACTTCTCTCTGGTCAGTTAGTAATGGCCTAATGCCAAGCTTTCTTCTTTTCCTGTTCTACAAAACATGTCCTCTGCTGTTTCAATATCCTTTGCATCTGCAGACCCAAAGGCCTCTATGGCCTGAGTAAAAGGCAAGTGTGCTAAGCAGGGCTGGGGCTAAGAGCTCAGCAAGGTCCCAGCCACAGCTGGAGCACCTCTCTCATGATGTGCTCCAGCTCCTTCTCTTATTTTGCTCTTTGTCGTTCTCCTCGAGGTCTTCCCATGAGTCTCTGTCTTTTTGATCATGCCCACATTTAACAGGCACTGTTGATCACTCCAATTTTGTGTCCTCTAACGATGGGGTTTAACCGCACCTTGGCTGTGTGCGTGTACTCACGTGTGTCAGTTCTGGTGTGCCAGGACCCGCACGTAGAGAAAAGAGAATGACCTGAGGGGTCCGGTCTCACTATCTACTGTGTTTTCCACAGTCTTGTTGTTCACGGTTGGGTTTCCCAGGCTATCATTCCTCCGAACTTCCTCTGCCTCCCACCTTCCACCACTGAGCACAGAGGTCACAACTGTGTCCAGCCTTGCGTGGACTTCACCCCATGCAGCAGGAGTTACAGGATATGAGTCACCATGTGGATGCTGAGAACTGCACCCAGGCCTTCTACAGGAACAACAAGTACCCCAAACCACCGGGCCATCACTTCAGCACCCCCTCCCTGGCCCCAGCCTATATCTTACATTTAACATTTGTTTCAAAATTCAAAAAGCCAAAAATACTCTTGTAAATATCTCAGATGCACTGAATATATATGTCTATATAATATGATATGGATACTTAGTACCAAGTCACATGTCAGGCTTGTATTATCTGCAAAGGGAACAGTGTTACTTTAGAAATCTCATTTAAACTTTTTCTCACTCTTTAATTAATTTTTGTGAGTATGTATGGGTGCATGTGTGGAGGTCAGAGGAGAACTTGTAGAAGTTGCTTCTCTCCTTTCACCATGTCTGCCCTGGGAACTGAGGGCAGATGGTCAGGCTTGGTAGCCTTTACTCCCTGAGCCATCTCCCTGACCCCGCTTATACAATTCCCCCCTAAGTGTACTTCTTTGTTTGAATTGTGGTGAGATACAGCAGAGCCAATCCTGACACCTCTCCTGAACTGTAGAATTATAGTTTTCCCCAGAATATTAACATTTATGGGTCATGATTAACGAAGTTATTAAGAGGTTTCTGTGTTTTGAGGCGAGGGAAATAAAGTCGAAAGGAAAGAAACAAGGCCAGATAAGGATGATGCTGGGAAGCTAGTAAAAAACATGGAGGAGGAGAGCATTGTCACCCAGTTTGGGGTCAAAGAAAATGTCCAAATAAACAGTGTATCAGCAGGAGATAAATCAGGAAGGTGATTTAGAAGAACACATAAGAGCCAAAAGTAAACTAATGGGGTTGGAAGAAAATGAAATGGTTCCAAGGTATAATTCACGTAATTTAAATGATATGGAAACTTAATAGGTTGTTAAAGCCAGAAACTAAATGAGACAATTATGATACTCAAGTCACTATTAAAATAAACTGTTAGCACAGTTACTCATTAAAAATCTACACTTTTGCTTCTAAAGAAGAATTCAATGATAATAAAATTTATATTTATTGCAACATTCACAAATCACAAACCTTAATTCAAAGCTTGGCATTTATATGTATTACATTATAGCAAGTAATTTTCCTTTGCGATTTAACCATTATTATTAATTCATATGAGCTCTTGCATGTAAATTACTTTTAGGAGGCTGCTGGGGAAAACGAAGACCAGCATGAATCTAACATGAAGCGAGTAGGAGAGCTGGCCTCACTCCTCCCTGGACAAGTGGTGGTGTGGGCATGGGAGAGATCCCCTTCACTCACTGGTGGCATGGTTGTGGGAGCATTAATAGCGTAGCAGAAACCAGAGGCCTTGAACCAGATCAATGAGTCAATACAATGAACATTTACCAAGTAAAACTGTTTGTATGTGACACACTGTGACACACCACAGCTTTCACAGTGAGATTTTTAAATTTTTTTATTATTTTATTTTATTGTTTTTTTTTTATTTTTATGTTTTGTTTTCTTTGAGGGGGGAGGTTGCCAAGGGCAGAGGGCAGAGATGGAGGGCAGAGATGAGTAGGTATAGTTTGAATAGGATATTCATATTCATATTCATATCTATATGCATGGACTTCTGTGTTTGAAAGCTTGGCTATGGGGATTGGCACTATTAGGAGATGCGGCCTTGTTGGAGGAAGTGTGTCACCGTGAGGGCAAGACTGAAGGTCTCCCATGCTCAGGTTCCACCGGGTGTGGAACACGACATAGAGCACCCAGCTGTGTCTATAACACTGTGAACGAACATCTGCATGCCACTATGCTTTCCACCAAGATGACAGTGGATAGATCCTCAGAAACTGTAACCAGCCCCAATTCAATGTTTTCCTTTGTAAGAGTTGCCATGGTCACAAGTGTCTCTTCACAGCAATAAAACTAAGGCAGAAGTTGGTACCAGGAGTGGGGTTTTGCTGTAATAGGGCAGACTATGCTTTTCTTTGGAGGAATGTGGATTTGAGATCTTGGATTAGAAAAACACTTGACCCTTTTAAGCATTGCTTAATGGGCTGTACTAGTAGAAGCATGGCACAGCATACTACTGAGGGTGATTTAAACTGGGGGGAGCCTGAAGCTTGTCTCAGATGTCCCCACCCACCAGTTCTTATTTCTCTGCAGGCCTTCTGCCCTCTCGTCCCTAATCTGCCTGTACGCTGCCATGTTTCCTGCCATGATGATAATGGACTAAACCTCTGAACTTTAAGCCAGCCCCAGTTAAATGTCTTCCTTTAGAAGAGTTGCCTTGGTCACTGTGTCTCTTTACAGCAACAGAAGCCCTAACTAAGACAATGGGACTAGAGAGCATGATGTGAACTTCATGAAGAATCAATAAAAAGTTTTTAAAAACCACACACACAAAACTCTTAGTAGATTGGATTTTTCACAGGATGAACCTCGATTTATTACATACGTGATGAACTCCAGACATCAAAAGCTGAAAGCTTGTTCTCAAGTATAAAAGACCCATGTTCTTATCACTTCCCACATACTAACAGAAGTCCTAAAACAAAAGGCCTCTTCATAGAAGAGGAAGAAATGACATTATCTTTATATGCCGATGACAGGATCTTCAGCATGGAAGTACTGAAGACTAACTGCAGCAAACCCCTGCTCAAATCATTTATTACGTACCTGTGTAAAGACATCATGTTGAAATCCAGAATTATGTATAATTAATATATACTGACAAAAGTATTTTTAAAACCTGTTAAAACTGGTCAAGGGGTTTAAACAAAGTTATAGGATACAAAATAACCACACAAAGCTAGTAAGACTTCTACGTACTAATAAGGCTGGAGATGTGGCTCAGTAGTTGAACATTTGCCTGGCATATACAGGGCTCTGAGCTCAGTCTCCAACACTACAAGAAAACAAGACGAAATCAACATCTGGATACTAATAAAAAATTATCCCAAAGGGAGATTAAGAAAATAATAGTACATAAAGTAGGAAAAAAAGTAAAATAGTTATATATAAGTTTAATCAAAGAGGCAAAAATAACTTTTTACGGGAAATTGAAGAAAACATGACAAGAAAATTAATCGTGTGAAACCCATTCATGATTTTAAAGATAAGAAAAGGAGAAAGAAGAGGCTTAAATTCACATGTACCAACAAAAGGCCCCAAATAGCCAAAATCTCTCAAACAAAATGATAAAGCTGCAGACATTGTACCCCTTAATTTAAAACACTGCATAAAGCAACGGTCACCAACATAAACTGAGAAACACTGAACAATTAAAACAACCCAGAAATAAACTCGTATATTTATTTCTATTAATATTTCAAAATTAATTTGTATTTTGTGTGTATGTAGTTTTGCCTGCATGTAGGCCTTTGTGCCTCCTGCATGCAGTACCCCAGAGGCCTAAAGAGCGTATCAGATCCCTTGGAACTGGAGTTACGGAGGTTATGAGCCATCATGTGGCTATTGAGAAGAGAAGCCAGTGCTGTCAACTGCTGAGCCATCTCTCCAGCCACTCAGCTGATATTTGAGATGAATCCAAAAATACACCCCGGCAAAGGGTAGTCCCTTTAGTAAATGTTTTTGGAAAAACTGGCTGTATACCTGTGAAAGAATGGGACTGAATCACTCATCTCAAACCATATACAAATATCCTATCAAAATAAAGATATACGTTTAAAATGTGAAAATAAAATTACTAAAAGAAAACATGGAAACAGCCACTTTCACTGATCTTGAGTTGGATTTTTGGTCATAATTTCAAGGCACAGGGAACAAGAGGAAAAACAGACAAATGGCAGCACATTAGAATGCTCCACTACAGCAAAAGAAATAATGAACAACGTGAACAA